ATCCTGAGATCCTGTACCTCAGATTGTAGAACCTTTGTCAGTGCAGCCATGTGGATGAGTCACGGCCATTGCTTGGCCAATGTGCTCTCTGTGAGAGCCTGAGAGAGTGTCTTCTCCCCATGTGACTCTCCTTAGGCACATTCTACATGACAATATTCTTGAGTAAGAAGGACCTCCCATATTATATTCCTAAGTAGGAAGGATCTCCCATCTCATATTAGTCCACTGAAATTTTATTTCTATTTCAATATGAAATTCTATTTCTAGGAGAGTTTCTGATCCATAGTAGGGCTACTGGTAACAACTGACCCCAGGTTCTTGAGGTCTTTTGGCAGTTTCATGAGGATTCCCTGTAAGGTCTGATTGGCTCTTTCAATCTTGCCTGAGGATTGAGGTCTACAGAGTGCAAATAATATTTTATACCGGGGCTTTTACTATTCCTTGTGTTATATGAGAGACAATAGAAGGGCCATTATCACTCTGAAGTGACTATGCTCACCCAAAGTGGAAAATAATTTCTTTAAGTAGGACTGTACTTCTAGGGCTCTTTCAGACCAAATAGGAAAGTTCCCTATCCATAAAATAAAGCTATTTATTAGCACTAATGGTTGTTTATATCCCCTATGTGGTGGCATGTGAGTGAAATCTATTTGCAGTCTTCACCAGAGTAGATATCACTCTTTTGGACACATTCCAGCAATAGGGGAGGTATCAGCCTTGGTTTATTATTGTAGGAACAAAGTGGCCAAGTCTGACATACTTATTAGGTCATATGGTCATATCCAGGCCTACAAAAGTTCAATCAGCCATGGTCAGAGTGGCATCACATCCCATATGAAATGAATCATTTGGCCCTGTATAGCTTTCCACCAAGTTTTGGTGGGGAGAAACAGTCATTTTCCCAAATACTATTAGGAACCCTTGCTTAAAGCCACCTTGATTCCTGGCCCATTGGTCCTCATCATTGTTATATTTAAATTCTAGGGGTCAATGGCCTTTAAAAGGAAAAAGAACTGGAAGTGTTCCTAGTACATTCTGTTCAGCCTCTTTGTTAGCCTTTTCATTTCTTGATGAGACAGAGTCCACATTCCTTTGGTGTTCTTGGTGGTATATTACTGCAATTTCCTTAGGGAGATGGATTACTCCTAGAAGTTGAAGGATTTCAGCCATAGGCTGAATGAGAGATTGTCTTCCCTTTAGTAAGCCTCTTTTCTTCCCTTTTGCATGTGTGACACATGGAGGATATTTAGAATCAGTATGGATATTCAGTCTTTTATATTTTCCCAATATTAGAGTGAAAAGTAATATAAGTGATTCTGTTTTGGGGGTAGAGATTCCTGAAGACAAAGAAAAGGCTTCAATTACTTGCTGCAAAGAGACTCTTGAATAATCCAGTCTTTGTTGCCCCTGTGATAAAGCTAGTTGCATCTGTTGAACCAGGCCTCCTCTGAGTTAGGGAGGGATTGCCTGGTAGTTTTGGCCTATTGGTGTAGGTTTTTGGATCATCTCACAAGAATATTGAGTTAGTGCCATTAAAGAGGCTGGGTTAAGCATGTTACACATCTTAATTGTAATTTCAGGATTGTCTAGGAGTGAAGTCCATATTTTGTAAATCTCTAGTCATCCAAAGATGTCTTTTCATTTCTAATACAGACTTAACTTGCTGTGGTATTACAACCTATAGTCTTTGTTCTAGGGTAACCTCTTGTTATGGCTTACATCTAAATGCCCTTCAAAAGCCTCTTCTGATGGGAAGTGGGGCTTTAGGAGGTGAATGAATCATGGGAACATAGTATTCATCAGTGGATTAGTCCATTGATGAGTTTATAGCCTTCTATATCTTTGGAGGTAGAACCTGGTCAAAAGAGAGCAACCTTGCACTGTCCTGCCCCTGTGCCAGGCTGTCATGCCCTGGCATCAGCTGGCTGTCCAAGGGCTGACACTACTAAGACATGAGTCAAGATAAACCTTTCCTCCTTTCAACACTAATGTCAGTTATTCTGCCACAGCAGTAAGGAAAGTAACTAAGACACTTCTTCAGTTAACATTGCTGTGACCTTCATATTCTTATTCTTAAATATGAAGATCAGCCAGAAGCTGCTATATCTAGTTTCTTGGAAAAGTAGGCTATCATGTAGGATTCTGATCCCAATTTTTGGAATAAGAATCCAAAAAGTATACCTCTCTTTTCAGCAAAAGGAAAGAAAATTTTGTTAGGTTAGGTGTCCCCAAAGCAGGACCTTTGCTCAGTGCCTGATTTAAGGTCTGAAAACCATTGTCTGTTTGCTTGGTTCATCTAAAGGTTCAGATTTAGGCCCCATAAGGACTTTATATAAAGGTATTGCTGTAAGTCTGAACTTTTTGGTCCCTATCCTTCTATACCGGGACATTCTTAAAAAGAGCAGAACTATTGTTTAATAACTCATGATCCTAGATCACAATATAGCCCTGATTCTTTCCTGAGAGATTTCAGTTTTGTGTGTTCTAATAATGTTTATGGACAGGATATCATGTCTGCATCTTGTACAATGAATAACCACTAAGACACCAATATGCAATGTACTAATTATTGAAACTGTGCTAGTAATCAGTTTTGAAACTGTCTCATTGTTATTTGTTTCTCAATAAAATTAATTTAAAATAGGATAGATATACAGCTACTTTCTCTTAATTAAATGAATCGAAAGGTTTGTACTAATAGTGTTTGTGGACAGGATATCACGTTTGCATCTTATACTATGAATAACCATTAAGAAGACAACAATATGCAATGTATTAGTTATTGAAACTATCCTACTCATAGGTTTTGAAACTGTCACATTGCTATTTGTTTCTCAATAAAATTATTTAAAAAATTTTAAAAAGAAAAAAAAAAGAAATTTCAGAGTTCTCAAATGCAAGACTATGGTCTCTGCTATGAATTTTGAGCTTTCTCCTCAGACATTCAGTACACTCATACAGCTTAAAAGTTCTGGCCCTTTCATAGTATTTGTGCTAGAGTCATTTGAAAAGGGACTGCATATTGGAATGTCATGTACATATTTTAGGATGCACCCCAAAGTGAGTTTAAAGTTCCTAAGCTCCCTCTCAAAGGCACAAGTAAATGAACTGGGGGTATCCCTGAAGCCCTGAAGAAGTATACTTCAGGGGTGCTGTTATATTTTTCTTGTGGAATTTCACCAAAGACAAATAGGAATTGACAGTCTTGGCATACGGGAATAAAGAAAAAAGTGTCCATAAGATGAAGGACAGAGAACCAGTTAATGTCCCCAAGGATTTAAATAAGTAGTGTACATAGATCTGGCACCAAATGTATACTGAGACTATTGTCTCAATAATGAGAAGGTAAGAAAAAAAAATAATGAGAAGGAAGTCTTAGACTATTCGATATTCTCCTGAGGGCTTTGCCACC